GCAGGAATATGGGAAGACTTTTCGTTACAGTATTTTCCATAGATGAGTGGCATGCTGATTTAAATCTGTTACGGCTGTATTGATTACAGTCCCCCTGTCCATCACCATCATCTGTCATCATCTTCGGCTGCCAGTATGACAGCTGTGAAGGAGCAGAATAAAATTGACTGGCAGAATGTTTTGCATCTAATGAGTCTGTGCACAATAAGAGTATAATAAATAATGCTCTGGAGGAACTCAGCTATCGCTTAAACCCCAAAAGAGAGAGATTGCCTTAGCAGAAGCTCCCAAAGCCATCTGTCATCTGTCATGAGTTGCATGTCTGTGGCTGAGCTGGACTGAGGGAATGGAAAGCACCAAAGACTGGTGATGGGCGCCTTGTATCACGCAAGGAGATATAAAGTGGGCTGACATCAAGAACCCTGAATCACTCAGGAAGAGCTTAAAACTACAAAGGCACCACGGATTTGATGCGATGTTACTTAGCAGCGCGGGCTGCTAGAGGGACTTTTTCCAGATGAACCTTGGTCTGACATTCACTGAAGAAAACCACGTCGCAATAGCCTGTCTGTGGTGTGACATACTGGTGAGATTATATTTACCAGATGGCTAGGACCATGAGGGATGAATTACTGTGGCTTCGGGATGATCAGAAAGCAGCAGCAAGGCGCGATGACCCAGGCACCAGCCCTTGGAGGCTGAGTTCAGACCTTGGTTTTGATATAGGTCTCTTGGGTGACACTGAGCCTGCAGCAGACAGCAAATTAAGGAAAATAAGCCTCCAACATGCTCCTAGGAGAAGATTATTGAGAAGCCCCTAAACCTACCTGGTGGTCCACCAAAACCAGCAGCGTGACAGGGTGCTAGCCCTTCTGGTCATATCACCATCACATTGCAGAATTTGTTTTCAAGTGTCACAATTTGCAAGATAGTCTTGTGATCCCCCCCCCACCCTTGACCCTCGTGGCTTTGATCTCCAGTGTTTGGAGCTGTGCCACCCTCTCCAGCAGCCTGGCACAGCTACACCACCATCTGGCACGTGGGAATTGCTGCTTTAGGAAGCAGATCTTTGGTCCCTGTGGGCTGCCTTCACCTCTCCTCCTCCTCTCCATGCATCTCCCATCCCTTGACCAACTTGCCCATCGCACAGCACAGGGGCTTCTCTGTGGGGCAGTGGTCCCACGGGACACAGGGAGCCAGCGTGGTAAAAATTGGGCAGGGCAGAAGGATCTTTGCTGGTTTTCTGGCCAAGGCTGTATCAGCTAGCCAGCCTCTGAAGGGAGGGATCACAAGAGCCTTAATCCAAAATAGCCCATGGCCGAACGGGCACAGAAACCTCGGCCCAGCAGGGGAGGACATTAAAGCCTTCAGTAAAGCCCAGCTTTAGTCGAGTCCAGCTGTCTCACATGACATCAGCCCTGGTCATACACTCCTTCACGCAGCTGATTTCCAATGGTTGCAACACTCAACTCTGCACCATTCCAACGTTGGACTGAAACCCATGCGATAAGGCAAGCCAGCAGACATCTGTACTAAGGGTTTCTTCTCATTTTCAAGCCTTTATTTCATATTCTTGAGCTTGTCTCAGACTACACGCTCTTTTTATTAAATTGAATATTGTTACCATTTTTAAATTGTTTTTGATGGACTGGGTCCAAAGATTGGTGCCTGTATTCAAAGCTGCAGTACTGCTTTGCAGTGGAGTTTAATTGGGGTGCTGTTTTTTGCTTTTGAACTTATCATAATTATGAACAGATTTTTTTTTAAATATGTCCCCTGGTTTCTCCCTTCGAAAGAAAATCTCATGTTTAATGAACTTAATTTTAGATAAAAGGAATTAAAAGAAGAAAATTAAAAATGCATGAAGCTCCTAGAGTCATCCAATTACTGTGATGTCCACACAGCAATACCAGCATGGATTTTACAAAGCAAGGAAAAGCAGAAAAATCACTGGGGCTCGCCACATGTAAATGCTGCTCTATTCCAAAATGTGCTGAATTAGAAATGTACGTTTTATGCATTTCTTCTTCTTGATCTGTTGCAGAAGAAGATAAAGATCAAACATGCCAGCCCACCCCGAGTAGCATATGTATGCATACCCAGAATGCTTGCTTCCTTTTTTCAAAACCACATCTAGCTCTGTAGTCAAAATATTAGAATACAGATGAGCATCAGAAGAGGATGGTCTTTGCATTCACCATGCAACAAAAGCAGCAGCCAGGCTGATCTGGCCATTAAATACCAAAACGGGACACTAGACCTAGGGACCCAGCTCCCTGCCTGAGGAGGTGGTGGTTTTATAGACAGCCCCAACCCTCTGAGGTGATAATGCTCAGAGATGAGCATCTCGGAGCAAGCAGACATCTTGGGACGTATCTTCATTTATTCCTGAAAACAAATACATCACAAAAAGGGCAGAGTCTCATGGAGCAGGATTACTGTCAGATCAGGGAAAAAAAAAACAACCACTTGGCAGTTAAGAGAAAGCACACAAACAAGGAGGCTGTGTATAGTACAGAGTAGTATTTATTTCATATTTAAATTTTCTTTGACTATAAAGCTGCACTTTAGACAGCGGCACTCTCAATATGTGCAAGATGACATTCTTTATCTCTTCCCAAAAGCAAGCGAGGGAAATCTTAATCATAGAAGTCATCAAATTCGTCTGCTTCTGTGCTGTGAGTTTGTGGGCGCAAAGCAGCCTCAATCTCGGAGCTGCTGTCATCAGATTCGCCCCAGAAAGCTGAGGGTGAGGAGAAAAAAAAAATTATAAAATCTTTTCCATGTTTATGTCATTTCTGTCACAAACATGATCATTTTACAGCCCTCCTGAGGCAGCTAGACACCACGGCTTATAGGGAAGGTCGGAGTTTTGAAGACCGCAAGACCTAGGTGTGCGTTTCTGACGGAGCGTGCTGTGGGCACATCGTGGGCTCCAATAACGGAGCTGCTGTGGCCAAACAGTGGGCTCATTCAGAGGTCCCACTTCATTGTTCCTCAAGGTAGCTTGACAGAACATTTCCACTCCAAGCAATTTACTTGACCAGCTGCTGCCTGAATTACGGCTTTGTCTATTATGTACCACTTTCTCTCTCTACTTGACCCTGCAGTGAAGTCACAGTCGGACCATGACATCACGGAGTTGGCATAAAAATGGCAATGACGTCAGAAACAAAAAATCGCCGCTTTGAGAGAGGATCAAATACAGGCAAGACTGACTTCAAAGAACTGCATGGCTTTAACAAACAGCTCTGGGAATTAGCAAACAATTTCACTGAAATAAACAGAATCACATTTAAATTCTGAGTGCCTGAGAGATTCTGCAATATGTAAATTCATTTGACCCACAAAAAAACAATCAACCAACCACCCCACAAAGCATGGCACAAGGGGAAGCGTTAAGTCAAGCCCACAGTCACTCACAGCACTGCACTGTCTGCCTGTTCCCAACCGCTTCCAGAGGGCTGCTCTTTGTCCAAAGTCAGTGCAATAACCCCGATGCCCCAAATGAGGCAAAAAGACTCAGAAAGTGGGAGTCAGGCGGCAGGAGAGAGGAAGGCTGTCGTACCTCAGACAAATTTCGGCTCGTGTTTGACTGAGGCACTGTTAATGCATTCAGGGCTTTTGATGGCACAAGCTATATAAACATCTTATCTACAAATGCAGCAGCTGCATCTTTTATCCTATATCCACGGCCCCCTGGACGGCAGGTTTGCACTCAGTCGGGAACATCAGAGCAGCACTGGCTGCACCCTGTGCTTGCTCCAACACTGAACATCTGGGAAGAAGCTGAACACATTGAAAGGCTCCCCCAAAAAAAAGAAACTCCCCAGCAGAGAAGGAAACGGGCTGGGGATGTGTGAAAGCCTTTCAAATGGCACCGAAGCAGCCACCGTTTACGGCATCCTCAAATCAGCTCGGATGCCACACCTCTACAACACGTTTTGGACTGTGTACCACCTAAAGCTGAGCTCCAAGGCAAAGAGCTCCCAGCGCTGACTTCACTTACGAGAGGCTCCGTTAGAGGTGACTTCAGACACCAGCCGTCCTTGTGGTGGTTAAGAGAGAAAAATGAAATGCAGGGGAAAAGGAAAACATACAGGGCCCAAATACCAATTTAAAAGAAAGCCTGCTTGCTCGTGATAAAAAAAACTGTTCCAGATGCACACATGTGGGCACGCAGGCATCTTTGTGCGCCTGCCTACTGTAGGTGTGCAAACACACGCGTTGCTGCCCACCCGCTTCTGCAACCCCTATTTCAAAGGGAAGATCAAGAAAATATCAGATTTTTTCTTCTCTAGGTCTTCTCCTACCTGCTATTCGCTACTGTTTGATTTAAAACCCTGAAGCAAAGATCACTACTCCTTCCACACCATATGCACTATGAAATACATCCTCTCGGGTCCTGAATTTGTCATTGTCAACTATTTGCTGGCTCCTGTGTTGGGACAGGGAACTTCCATGCTTTCCCATCTCCTTATGCCCATATTTTATACAGTTCCGTAATGTTGTTCTTGGAGGTTTTTGACAATATATTACATCTAAAGACTTTGATTTTAAGTAGCAGGACATTTGTTTCTTACCTTTGGATTTTATAGCAGTTACCGTTCCCTTCCTGGTTTCAGCCCTGTAAAAGAGATAGATTTCAAATCATCAGCACGATATCACAAAATTAAAAGAATGTAAGTCAACTTTAAAAAAACCCACAACTGTGAGATGGTTTAAAAAGAAATATCAGTAACTTCCGTAACTAGTTGTTTTTTTCAAAATAACTATTGTATCAAGGGTTTCTTCACCTTTACATCTTTTAGAGGGTGGAGAAATTAACATGCAGCAGGGACAGTGGTCCAGATGTTCAGGCAGCGTGAACTGGAGTCATTCCTTGGTAACGGTGCCGATTTACACCAGTGCTGGATTAAGGGTACAAAGGATCAGAGCTCTGTCTATCTTTTGCAGCCTTTCAGATAATGCAAAGAAAGTAAAGGGGGAAAAAAAAAAAAATCCAAACACAAATAAAAGCACCCCCCACTGATGCTCACTGAACATCCTTATTCCCCTTCCTGCCCATGTACTCCTCCAGGCCAGCTCCTGGGTTCCCATAGCATCATCCCGGTCCCTATGTAAATGTGCAATCGCCCAGCTGCCTTTGATCTACCTTGATGTATATGCAGTTGCGATTCTGTGCTGTTAAATGACTGCTCTTGTGTCTAGAGCATCACAGGCCCTTTTGAATCTCTCAAACAAGCTGGAATCATTTTGATCTTTTGTGTGTAGCGTGTGTATTGTGTTGGTGCTGTGAAATAATCACATAGGGGCAATGATGTAGGAGAATTAACTGTTATATTAACAATCCTGCAATAAGCTCTAAAAATAAAGCTTCGGCCAATTTTAATAAGGAAGATCAAATAGGAGATATTTGTGACGTTGCTGTGTGAATTAGTAAAATATAAGGAAATGTCAAGTTGCAATTTGAAGCTGTTGCCACAGTCAAAACAGGACTCAATCAGCTGTCAAAAATTTCATACAACTTCCTGCGTTTCATTTAAAGACGCGGCAGCTAATGTGTAATTGCTTAAAGACGACTTTTAACTACTATTGTGGAGGCATTTGTGAAGGAGATACAAAAAAAGCGCAGAGATTATTCATTGCTGGTCTTACACCACTGTATTCAGTAAGAATTTGGGATTGCAGCTGGAAAGCTAAACTTAAAGCAGGGGGAAGTTTCATTAGGTTGCAGTTACCTATGTTAGAGAAACTTTTATTTAAAAGAAAGCTCATGCTGTTTAAATCGTGTTCCTTTCCTACAAGCTGTGAATGCCATTAGCACACAGCCTCCCTCTTTGGAGATACACAAAAAATTCCCAGAAATAGAATATTAAATACAGCCAAAGTTCAACCAAGATACCAAACTGAGGCTTAAGTACTAGTAACAAGTAAGGGTACTACTAGAATACTAACAGTGACATAACTAATTATTAACTTATTATTTAAGTAAAAAAACCCCAAACTTTAAAACATTAGCCCTCAAATGTTTATCTGACTTTTTGTTAGCATGCCATCCAAATGCCCTTCCCTTTTATCCAGAGTCAAACCCTACGCTGCATTACACTTCAACTTCTCGTTCAAATACATTTACTCAACAGTATTTGCCGATGAGTATTTTAAGTCAGAGCCTCTGCGTCAAGTCCTGCAATATGCTGAATGCCCTTAACTCTTGCTCACTTTGGTGAGATTTCATGACCCTCGGCATTTCCCAGGAGGTGCTCCACGTGTCCCAGGCTTAGCCCGTAAAAATGTGCTCAAGAGGCTGCAACTCTGGCGGCTGCATAGTTTCTCCCCTGGATGTAGAGCGAGAAACCACTTGTTGCTGAGCTACAAATTGAGAGGTGACTTCTGTGGCAGACTGCACAAGAACCATTTTATCTTCAAGTAGTTCGGTAAAACAAGATCAGGCAGCTACCGCTTCCAGCGCCTGCCGCTTCGTTAAGAAGGGAAGCGTACAGGGTTTCGTTATTCAGCCATGCCAGGAGGTCTCTAGAAGTGAGTTTTTGCTCCGCTTCTCTCCGTGGTTCAAGCCCAAAGATCAAACAGGAGAGGGTTGGCCATTTGGGCCCAGAGCCTTCGCTGTGCCGAGGCTAGCCATGCACAACGTGGAGGACTGCTCAGGTCTCGGGCAGCTTGGTCGTCTTGCACAATTTGAAGCACTACGAGATGCTCCAGGTCTGGCTGAAGGCCAGTGGTCTCACAGAGAAGTTGCGGTGGACAAGGACCGCCGTGGTTGTAGGAAGGACTGGAAACCTTCCCTCTTCTGCTCCAGTTTCCCATGAAGAAAAAGGTCAACACTGATAGGAAAAGGGGAAAGACAGGTGTTGTATTCCACCAAAATCCATCCATTTGGTGGTGTTTGTCCTCCCACAGTGAACCCACCGCCTGTAAAATGGGATTCACTCGCAGAACAGCACAGAGCTGTGGTGCTGCACCCTGGGAGCTGGGCGTTAGCATGGCACACCAGTCCAGAGAGAAACGGGGAACAGGGTGTCACAGCAAAGCTTGGCATGAAAGCTGTCAGCACAGAGAATTGCCTGGGGAGGTACAGAAAATGGAACTAGGACATCAGAAAGGCCAGATCGGAAGTGGCAGCTCCGCCAAACCGAACCTCGAAAAATGCTACAAGGTAGCTTTGTAACAGGGGATAAAATTCTTGAATTATGTCTGAAGTGTTAGTCAAGGCTGAGAAGATGCAAGATGACCTCTACGTTGCAAAACATTTGTATTCAGAAATCAGCAAATGCAATCATGAAAGTTATCATCTGGTATACCGAGCACACAATAACCAGACCTCCGCAGAGAAATTTTAGGAGTATAAATAAAATAAGGCCAGTTTCATTGACTCGACTAATTTCCCGTGGTGACCCTTCGATATCCATTTACACATTTGCTTCCCTAAAATAATTCCAAACTGAACCCAGGCTCTAACAAAGAAAAAACCCCAAACCAGTGTAACTTCAAAGGGCCTTTTAATCTCTCCTTTACTCTGATGAAATAGGCTTTTTGTATTGAAGATGCTGCAACAATAAGAAATGAAAAAGCTCCAAGAAATTCCCCCCCTCCCCGTAAAGAAAATTAATATTAAGAGGAAAATACCAGACCAACAAGAGCCAAGATAATAGAGGTGGCTCACTGAAAAACAGCAGAAAATGTTTACTTTAGCATGAGTATCTTTTTGCTAAAGCACCTGTTGAACCTCTATGTTTTAGTGTCAAGTGAAAAAAGACACCCAAGCACAAAGAGAAAAAAAAAGACATCCAATTGCCAAAAAAAACCAAAACACCCCAACACAAAGAAAACTACTCAAACATCAAGGGGAAAAAAAAAAAAAAAAAAAACCACAAAACCAAAAACCAAACCAAAAAAATCCACCCAAACATCAAGAGAAAAAAAAACAAAACCACACCACCCAAAAGCCAGGTTTTATCAGAAAAACAAACAAAATGCAAAGTGCAGCAGCCTCAGGAACATCCATACTCCAGCTAATCTTCTCAGAGGCTTGAAGCCTGCATGCCTCTGTCCTGCACACGCATTGCTGAGGCAGCACGCCACGCAAAACAAATCCAGCGTTTCTTTTTCGCAGTGTGGTGCTTATTAGCCCTCACGGAGAGAGGCGATGAAGCTTCTTCCCAGCACTATGTGAAGATGTGGAGTCACAGATCCATCTTGAAAAAAAGCATTTTTTGAAAACATCTAAAAGCCTTGTGGTAGGAAGCAAGCCAGGCTGCTTAGTGGCAGTGCCTCCGATGTGACGGTCTCAGCTGGGTACCCCCGTGATCGTACACTTTCCTGCCGGATCCTGCAGAAGCCTGACAGCTCTATCATTTTCTGCTGATCCTTTACTAAAGATTTGGCCATCATGGAAGTATTCCTTGCCCTGGAAAGTCAGTGTAAACTAAAAAAAAATTAATAAAAAAATCCATTCATCATGCCAGAATTGGAGCAATAATATTGAGTTTAAGTAATGACACTGCAAATAGAATTATCTTTATTTTAGAGTACAAAGATCTGTATCAAGCTACATTTAAGACCATTTTCTGTTTAGATATATCACACTGAAGAAGAAAGAAAAAAAAACATTCTTGCCTAGAGAAACTGCTAACACAAAGACTGCATCACAGCGCTGTGATGAAACTGTGTTGGAACAGCATAGGGCATCGCCACAAAAAAGAAACTCTATTTCCTCTATACTGCAAAGGCAAGGTATTTAGATCGATGTTGTTGCCTCTCCCCACAAACCATTCCCCACTGATATTCGTAGAGCACGGCCACTATAGCATTACTATTTCTGCAACAGCTGGCTGTTAAGATTTAGGAGACAAAGCTCCCAGAAATACCTGTAACGTCAGAAAAATGTGCTTGAAATTTACAGTCAGCTTGTTACAGAAGCGATTTGACAAGTGAAAGCATGGCAGGAAGATAAAACAATCGGCCACGGGTTGGTTTCTGAGGATTTCTTGGTAAACGTATCTCCCGACTGCTCCCAGCCCCAAACCTTTGGCATCTCTCCTCAGAGCCCCAGCCAAGCCGGGCGGTTTCTCCCCCAGTCAGTTAAACAGCGTCAGGACTGGTTTGGAACAGCGAGATGATGTGGGGGGATGCGGGGAGCGCTCGGTTGCGCAGAGCCCGAGTGCCCCCCGACGGTCAGCCCGCCTCGGCACGGAGAGCAAAGGCAACAAACATCGCCCTTGAGAATAATTAAGAGGATGAATTATAATCTGCCAATTTTTATTTGCATGTCATTACATCTGTGTTTGGTAAAGGCGGCTTTTGACCTAAAAAAAAAAAAAAACAAAACCAAAAAAACACCACCAAAAAACCCAGCCTTCAGAGACCAGACCGGATTACTTCCAGAAGACAGATTAATCAAAGTTTAAAAATACTTTACACCATGTTTATGTCCTGACATATTAGAATTGTTCTTTGGTTCTTGGTTGATACTGCATCTTTAATCTCCAGATTATTTTGAAATGAGACTGTGCAAACAAGTCAAAAGAAAAAAAAAAAAAACCAAACCAAAACCAAAAACAACTGCTTGCATCAAAAATTCGGAATTACCCAGAAAGCTAGTGACCTCCACTGGCTGCATCCATCGCTACAGGACCACAAAATGCCACACACATCGCCTGCTGCCTGCTCTCGTGGAGAGATTCAGTCCTGACTTCTGATACCTTTTCCCTCAAGTAATTGTATAATTTATTAAACACGCTCTTTGCTGCTGCAAAACGCTAACTCTTCAAACAAAACTTACATCTCTGTGCCTGTAAATATTCCCTCGGTAAAGTAAACGAAGCCAGGAAAAAGTAGTTTTATAGCTAAAGGGAGAGCAGGACAGTATTTGCGGGAGAGGAGGAAGCTCTGGCATGCACCTCCGAACAAAAGGGAACAAGTGGTCTTTACTCGGAGAGCAGCTTCCTATTAAGACTCACTCCTTCGTACATTATGCCTTTCATCCCCACTCAACCACAAAATGATTTTGCTGTAGGAAATACAATGGCAGAAAAAGATTTACATTGAAAGAATCTTTAATAATAAACTGTTGCAGATCTGCCTACTTCCCCATGATTTATAATACAATAAACATCGGATTCTATTAAGTCTCATGCACTGAAGACACGCACTGAAAAACCGAATATGAAAGCCCTCAATTCTTCCCGTCTCCAGTACCATAATAGTGAAATGAGCATGTATAAATGTGCTAAGAGTATCTCTTTGCATCTTTTATAGCTTGTGTGTATCAAGCTGTAAAGCTTATTAAGAAAGTCATTGCTATGCAAAGCAGCACCCAATCTCTTTTCTCTTGCTTTTCAACAGAACGCAGTGTTTAGCCAATAGGACCGGTCCCCTGCCCCTCATTCCGCATTCATAACATGCAACATTTGCACAATGTATCTCTCAAAGGCTGCTGAATAGAAAGCCTTAATACTCATGTAAACAACTGCAAACCAATTACTTAATGAATCAGGCCCACACATAATGAGGTGCCAGACAAAGAGCTATAAATGCATTTTTGCGCCCGAGCCTCTGCTTTAAAGTAAAATCCCTCAGCTGTAGTTTGGGCTTAACTGGCACATCATAATTATTGTCTGGAGGACATCAGAGGAAGCCATTTTTTTTATTTAGGTCCAGCAGGGTCTTTCGTGAGGTCACTCATCAGCTCAGTGACAAAACGGAGCAAAGAAGAATTTATAAAAAGTACCACAGCAGCGCTACGCAGTTATGTTTATTCTCAAGTAGTGGGTTTCGAGACCACTTGTAAAAGCAATAAAGCCCGAGAAGTGACTGCAGTAAGTGGAGCGCTTAAATGCAAGCCGCGAAGAAATTGCACCGCGTCCTGGCCGCCCCTTCCATTTCTCCTGTCTTTCTCCTTACTTTTGCTGCTCTCCGTCTCTGCGGAGCGGATGCCAAGTGTCCAAAAGCAAGGAGTGTTAATAAACTTCATGTTTAGAAGGCTGCGTTATTTTTGACTCATTTAGAAAAACTAACTTTAAGCCGTTGCAAGAGATTTTTCTTTCTTTTTTTAAAGCAGCAGCATCATGTATCAGCGCATGAAGTGTGCTTGCTTCTCTCTGCTAAGGTGTGAAATTATAGGGCAGAGTGAAGGATTTTTAAAATCTATCGCAAATAAGAATTTGCAAAAACAGCAAACAAAAACCCTGTATGCCACATGAATAGCATCTGAAAAATGCAGAAGTCAAACGCATTATTAGCAAGCAGCACAACATCCAAGGGGATAAAAAAACCTTGGAGACTTGGTTTTTTTTAAATAAAAAAATAGTTCATTTTAAATTATACATATTTTACTCAGATGCTTAGCAGTCATCCTGTAAGCAAGTTCTTCAGGGTCTGATCCTTCTCTTCCTGCTGTCCCAGGCTTCAGTGAATGACTAAAATTTAACATTTAAAAATCCATGTCTAGGAGCACCCTTGCATTTCATAGCATTAGGTAGTAAGATTTGGAACATCAAACAAAATTTCAGAAAACTTAAAAACAAAAAAAAAGATAAAAGTTTGAGCATAAAACTATAACAATTAATCCTAAAAGAAAAGCGTGAATGCCATTCATTAATATCATATTACAGCTTGTCTTTATTTGCCATACTTGAAGAATTACGGAAATCCTGTGATTTCAACACAAAATGCAGAACACCACTTGCAAAACTGGAATTGTCTCCCGTAGCAAAACTGACCTCATCAATAACAGCATTAAAAAAAGCTACAGAAAGATAGTGACGCTCTATAAACAGGAGTTAAAAATTTATCAAAATGCTTTCAAGTCTCATCCCAAGTGCTATCGATGGCAGTTTTCAGACCAGGAGCCGCGTAGCAGCAGCACCCACTTGCTGGGCTGTTCTAATAAGAGCAGATAAAGATCTAAAGCTCAGCCAATATTTCATGAGATGGCTGTGTTAGAGCCTATTTTCTGCTGCTTCTTGACCATTAATTTGATTGCTGCTGTTTGATTACCGTTACATGCCAATGAAGAATACAAGGAACATCCAACAGAAGTGCTCAGGGACCCAAAGGGAACTGCTGCAGTTTAATAAAAACAAACCCACAAACCCAACTTTTTGTTTAAAAAAAAAACCTTTAGGTACATGTGAGGCCATTAAACAAACATACTCGGTTTGAAAGCAAGGCAGGCATGTTATAAATACCCCAGTATCAAATATAAAAAAAAAACCCTCCAAACCCCAAGCCTCTGAAAAGCATTATCCAGTTACAGCTAGTTTACATCTCGGATACAGGGAGAAGAAACCCACCACTTTATTTCTTGAAGACTTTATGTTTTATGTCTGCCTCTCTCCTGACAACTCCTATTGTCTGGCCCCTGAGTAGCCCTACTGAGAGCAGCTGTACACGCTAATTTGTGGTTCACTGAGATGTCAATTGAGTCTGAAAATGAGAAAACAACAGCTGCAAAACAATACTTGGCTTTGGTACAAATATTTTCTAAGGTATACCAAAGTTTAAGATGTTTTATTAGATAAACATAAATACCAACCTTAACCCTAGATCAAGTAAAAAAATAAAATAATTGGAACTTCAGTCATTTTCTGTCGGTGTTTCTCATTCTACAGAAGCATTACAGGATTTAACAACTTTACCTTGGGAAGAGAGGACTTCTTTCATTCGATGAAGAACTAGTTTCTGAATGCATTTCTTGGCTTGCTTTTGCTTTGGAACTATTATTGCCGCTATCCCAACCTGTTAAGTAAAAACATGAAATAAATTTTCAAATAATAGCAGCTGGACCTCACACCAGTATGCAGTCCCTAGCAGCAACACACTTTTCAAACAGACGCACGTAATGGCCATGCTCTTGGTTCGATGACAAAGTCGAAAGAGGAACATGCACCACACAGTTGTGGTATTTGCCTCAAGATTGTTTGCTCATGATGAAGTGGAAATTGTTAAAAACACAGAAAACAAGACTCCCTCGCTATCAATTAAGTTACCTGATGATGATTTCTTGTGAATAGTGAAATTTTTGCACATTTTACCTCATTTTAGAAAAAAAGAGCAAACAAATTCTCCTAAGAGCTGTGTTGCATCATGGCAACTTTAAGCAAATCTTAAAGGATTTCTGGGGTCTTTTTACACTTTTTTTTTTAATCCCTGAGTGCTCATTTACTTCAGTTATTCAAGAAGCAAGGTTATTTTTAATTCTCCTTCCCCTTAAATGTAGATTATTTTGGATAGTTACAGGTCTCTGTAACACATCAGTATTTTCAACCATTCTCTTGAAACAGAGATGCATTTGGGAGACACAAATCTTGGGATTTTTATGACTTAAATAGCCAAACACTCAACTATTTTAAAATCTTTTATCCACACTTTCCTTTCTTTCCTTTTCCCTTCCGCTCTGTGTATCTCATTTCCATTCTGCAGAGATTGATTAAAAGAGGTAAATGAATTCATTCACTGGAATCGTACAATTACTCATCTTTGTACTTATTTCCAAAGAACATGGTGCTCAAGTACAAATCCCACTTTAAAAGACTACTTTGCATATATATATATATAGTACTGAAATGATAAACAAGCCCTGATTGTTACCAACTTCATTCCAACCCAGGACAATTTAGTATTTCTGTACATCTTGGACACTCTATTTTCTAACTGACCATACATGTTACCAGTCCGCTCCAGCGGATCACACCAGTCTGCGCATGGATTTCAGCGGCACAAATCCTGCTCAGTCTCAGGCCCTTCCAACAAAGAGGTGCAAGATGTCTGATTGACACCGGAGATGGCAGAGCTCGGGCACAGGAGATGGCAGTGGCTGCAGTGTGCTGCTTGCCGAACAAAGTCTGATCACTTCCCAGAGAATGCACGGAGAAAAAAAGAAATCAAGAATGGAAGTGGGGGGGGGAAGAGAAAAGAAAAAAAAAAAAGAGGGGACACAGACACATTGCCCCCCCCTTTCCTGTGATGTACGTGTGCAGAGGAGCCAGCACCTGCGGAGATCATGGAGGACAGCCTGGACGCGAGACTGACGGCAGCTCAGAGCTGCAGATCGAGCGATGTGTGCATGCACTCAGAAACCACTGACCACAAAGGAACAAATATTCACGCTTGTTTGTACATTACTTTGGGAAAGCAAAAAAAATAAAGCTAATTTAATTTAATCAAGCCAGAACTCCCAGAAACTGCTTTTCACTCCAGCAGTAAAGCACTTAACAGAGGTGTCTTTTTCAGGGCTCCTCATCCACAGATTCAAACTACAACACACAACACAGCTGAGACTACGTGCTTACTTTGCCTGGGGATAGAGCAGGCTTTGCTTCAGCAGGGCATCCCTCTGCCTCGAAAAAGCCTTGTACAAAGTGAGTTGTGCCCAGCTAACAGAACACCACAGGCCATAGAATCTGCAAACGTTCAAAATCCAGTTACATGTGCCCTCAAGACAGCTCTGGCGTGTCCATGGCTTGCTCCTTGTGTGAAGGAGAAGGTGAAGCAAACGGCCTCCACACAAGTCATCAGCTCTAACCACCCTTCCTATTTCAGCCCTGCCCGTGCAGAGGAACACATCCACCTCATTAAGTCTGTTAATGGACTGAACTCTTCTCCTCCTTCCCAACCAGAAGAGGTAGAGAGTTTCCCGAGCAGATGCTAGCTTCAGAGGGTGTTAGTATGCCAGTTAAACGGCTGCACCTGATGTGTGCCTCTTAAAGCCTTCCCTTTGTTTCAAGCTAAGCCCGGGAACCCCACTCCAAGTGGGGACCCGATACCCAGCTTGCCATCGATGGGATCCCCTGCAGCAGGAACATATCTGCAAACTCAGGGAAGTGCCACTACCTTGAGTGGCATGAATAACCTTCTCTGTTGCTGTTGAATGCTCTTCCCATCCCTCAGGGCAGTGGCACAGAGCCTGTCTTTGATCCAGGTGTACCCATCACCCCTTCCCAGCTGGCGCTTCAAAGTCCAGGTCTTTGCCAGCTCTACCAAAAGTCAAACCAGGCCACTGCTGTCGTGCAGCTCTCCTTATGGCTTTTGCATGCACACCAGCCTCAGAAGACCATTCCCCCAAGTTTTCTGTGCCTGCGCTGGCTCCCCTTCCTTCAAAACATCAAACAGTAACACAAACTACTTCTTCACCTTCAAGACCCTTCAGAGCCCACCTTTGCCCTACCTGTCAATTATAATACAATGCTGGGCTATCAATCCCCACTTCTGCTTTAGTTACACCAGACTGCTTTGCCAAATAGTCCAGTCGTTCCCCTCGAGCATCTTTGTGCTGACTTCCATCCTACGTACCCTACAGAAATGGGAGATCCTTCTAGGAACTCCTAAGCCCACCAGCTCACGTTCCTGGAAAGCTGGCCATGGCGATTCATCTAGGTTACAGCACCCACGAAATGTCTGACAACGCGTAAGCGGTCAGCGTGCAATGACTGCTGCTTTGTGTGCTGAGCAATCACCTGGCTCTTACCTCCTCTTACCCCACTCAGCCAATTAATCCCCATGCCTTCAACAACATGTCCACGTTGTAAATTGGCAGAAAGGACGAGTCTCGGTTACAGACATGCAGTGCCAACAACAAAATCAGCCCAACCTGGGCGCACGGCAAGACTTGTTTCACCATTGTGAAAACATAGAAGCGATTGGTGCAACGTGCAGGGCAGAGGAGTTGGAAGAAATACCCTGCTAGGAGAGAAAACCCTTAGAATCATAGAATCGTTTAGGTCGGAAAAGGACCTTTAAGATCATCGAGTTCAACCATAAACCTAGCACTGCCAAGTCCACCACTAAGCCATGTCCCTAAGCACCATATCTACACATCTTTTAAATACCTCCAGGGACGGTGACTCCACTGCTTCCCTGGGCAGCCTGTTCCAGTGCTTGACAACCCTTTTAGTGAAGAAATTCTTCCCAATATCCAATCTAAACCTCCCCTGGTGCAACTTGAGGCTGTTTCCTCTTGTCCTATTGCTCATGACTTGGGAGAAGAGTCCGACCTCCATCTGGCTACCCCCTCCTTTCAGGTCATTGTAGAGAGCGATCAGGTCTCCCCTCAGCCTCCTCTTCTCCAGGTTGAACACCCCCAGCTCCCCCAGCCGCTCCCCATCAGACTTGTGCTCTAGTTAAGCACTTCGCTCGTGATAGAACTGCATCATGCCATAAAACCCTTACACAGATCAGTGTGTTTCCTTCATAAAACCAATCGTCGCGTTTGAGGTTAAATGTAATTTAGTTCAAAAAGACACTTTTATTCTGGGGGGTGTGCATGTTTCTGTTGTTTGTTTGGCCAGAAGCATCTAACTTGCCGTACTATAACAGCCAAGCGCATCCTCCTTGCCGCAGGCTGGGGACAGCGAGAAGCATGCTGCGCAGAAACACAAATACACGTTTCCCTGAGCACACCACAGAACACGATAGCCCTGGCAAGAAAGATGCACTGAGTAAAGAGGTCAAAAAAGGAGACAAAAAAAAAAAAAGATGGGTTTAGAGTACATCAACAGTGTGCAGGTTGAAAATGTTGGATAAAAGAATTGCCAGCGCCATGGAAATCATTCAGCAGGGAGCAGCGGCACTGGGAAGCAGAAGCAGAGGTGAGCAGAGGGCTGTGGGCTGTGACAGTGCTGCTGCAGAGCAGCAGCTCCTGACAGCCATCCCATAACGCCTCCCGGGCTGTACGCAGGCTTGCTAAAAAGCACCTCTCCTGTCCCATCCGAATTTGGTAAATTCTTGCTATGCCATGTAAAAGACAGATGCCATCTGCTTGGTGTTCTCTTCCTAAGTGGTTTTTGGAAGGAGTGGCCTTACCACATCACCAGCTCTTGTGTTCCGGAGACACCCCAGAAGCAAGGTAGGTGCGCAGGGGCAAAGCTGTTCGGAAACTGGGATGTTAATAATGGAAAGTTCTTAATCCAGTCGTTCAAGAAATACTGCTGCAGAATGGGAGCTGGCGTGTCCCAGATGACAGAGCTCTCCTTGTGCCTTTTCCCCCCTATGCATTGTTCCTTCTGCTCAGAACTAGCAAAGGATCTGCGATACCACTGTTAAAGACACTCCACACTTTTCAACTTTGAATTAATTGTGCAGTTGCCATGGGTCAAAGCAGCTTTCACATCAGCTCTTACAATTTTGTTCTGAACAAAATGGGTGTAGTTTTCTTCATTAGCCAACAATTCCAGGAAAAAACACCGCTGGTGCATAATGAACCACTATTATTTTGTTCTGCCAAACAGAACATACTGTACCAGCACAGAACCTGAAAAGAAGGTATTTTCTCCTCTATGGCCTAGGTTGCAGCATCTATCAATTTATAGCCAAACATTTCAGCAGCTAAAAGTGATGTGATGTCATTTTCTGCAAACGAAGAGGTAAGAAAGCTCTTGGCCTCATACCTGCAACATCTCTCTCTCGCTAATTGTATTACCTCTCTCACCAAGGAAGAAACCCACATTTTTAAAATATTAAAACCAGCATTAAAGCCCCTCACTGGAGCTAGAGTCCCAGCATAGCCATCTGCAAACATCTGCAGAGTCATCTGCAGACACCAATCATCTTTCTACAAACAAATCTCGGAGTGCTTGACTCCGCGTGTCTGGAAAAGGAAAAGGTAATTCACCAGGTTGCTGTTTTTTAAAATGCAGGCTGGGAAAACAGAAATACCACTGTGTTCACGTGTAGCCCGTACAGTTTGTGAGCAAAACCAAAATCTTCAACCTACGCAACAAAGCACCTAAGCAAGCTGGAGAAGTAGCATTGTAGGTGCTGCTCTACCAGGAGAGGAACAAGAGCACTTTGTACACCACTCAAAAGCTATAACGAGCTATCATCCATTATTTCCAATAACAATCAATAATCCTGTATGCAAACAGAGGCAGTTGGAGGGCAAAAGACCGCAGTGCTTTCACAGACTCAACCCAGACACATACCTGCATCTTCCTCCCATACGCAAGTGAGAGCCTACACAAAAAGGAACTTTGCTATTTCTGTGTGCTTTTATCCCCAATAAAATAGTTAGCAGCTTGGGTATTTCAGCTGTCACTAGACTTCAAAGTCAATAATGCCTTGAAAGGAATATTATCAGGATCAAGCTGTGTAGTTTTACAGTTACCTTGGCAATAGTTATTGCAGCCACATTCAGAAGTCCTGGTAGGTCTGAGCTGCCGTACTGCTAGGTCCTGTACCAAAATAGAAAACTAACAATGGTTCCTGCCCAGAAGAACTTTAAATCTGAACAAGGTCCTCCAGCATGTTAACATTAATTACTGCGCTTGCTGATAATCTACAAAGAGCTCCATGGGATTAAAGGTGGGCTGTCAGCTGCCATGCCACCGCCAGCACATGAGCAGCCACTGTGCACGCCTCTGCCTTGGGAGCAGAGGTGTGAGTGCCGGCTGTATACCAGCTCTTATCCGTACCAATTTCCCTTGTGATAAAGCTAAAAACTTGCATACAGAGAGAAGATAACGGCTACCTGCAAATCTGATAGAAGGATATGCTCTTTGGAGAGCAAACAGATGGAAAAAATCTCCCAATTAAAACCTGACAGAACACTGCAGTACCCAGAAGTAGGTCAAATACCAACAAATATCTCTCCACTTCCTTTAAATGAAAAAAACAACTCTTATGATAATAATACACCAACGTACAACGCTATCCTCTCAAGAGCAAACATTTGAATGACCACTGCACTCGAGAAATCCCAGTGGAGCAAGCCATCCAGTGCAAATACTTCTAGAAGCTGCTGCCTCTGTTTAAAGATCGAAGAAAAATTTTCACCTAGAATTTGTAACTATAAAAAGACTCCAAGGTCTTTCAGGAATTGAAGTCGAGCAGTGTAAAATATCACCTACTGCAGTACGTAATCCAAACTAATAAGCAAAACGTACAATCGTACACCTTCCCAAGGTAGTTGTGTCAGACTGCAACAGCAGCGGTGATTAATCACTTACAGATGAACTTTTTCCCATAACAGCAGTTGCGAATGGGCTGATATCAAATGAAGCAAAAAGTTGGGTAGACTTATTAATGCCTTTATTAGTGCACTCCAAGTGGAACCTCAGGAACCTTTTAACTTCAAGCTCAAAGGAGGACCTCACCGGGAAGGATGCATGGGCGTGGGAAAAGCGTTGGCAGGATTATTGGCTCATTAAAGGTGACCTAAAAAGGAAAGTAGAATTGGATTTGTGCTCTTTCATGTTCCCTTATGATATATAAAGAAGGGCTAATTCTGCCTCCCCCCCCCCCCC